AAAGCCTGAGGGGACAGCTACAGCTTCACTGTTGCGCACCATTGTCCCCGGCCTTTCCTTTGTGAGCTCGAGCTCATTCACGGCATCTCCAACGTCTGCTTCCGGCCAGACTATGGCTCCAAAGCTCCCTGCTCTAAAATCATGACACCAAGCACGGCGGGGCGTCATGCCAGACAGTCTGATGGGGCCACAGCAAGAGATCTTCACCCACCATCATAACTACACTTCCCAAAGAGTTTCAGAGAGTTGAAGGCAAACCACACACGGTCAATTCAGTCCTTTAAAACAAAACTACATTTAATCTCGCTGGGTGACTGATTGTGCACCATCTGCAACAGGTTGCCTTCAAAAATGTCCTAGCTATGACCCCATGTTTGTACTGGCTCTTTTGTACGCATGGCTAATGGGAATGGTGATCCTTCTGTGGTCATCCTTGGTGCTCGAGTGTTTGCCCTCCTCAATACCAGCCGGGAGGTTTAAGAAACAACCGGGACATTAGTTTTATCCCACACCCTCCTGGTGACATTCCAAGGTATAGGTTGAGGGCTAAAAACATACCGGAATATAATTACACAACACTGTATGGCAACCTTCATCTCTAATTCCCTATCCTCACCATCCTTCATGGCTGTACAAGGTCATGGTGTAGAAAGATGATACACACCGATGGAAGTGGTCAAAGCCAACATGCACTAAGGATGCAGGATGTTTATCATGGGGAGATTAAGCTGTCAGCTATAACTATAGATCCTTATCCATTTCAGATACTTTGTTAGTTGTAGCCCACCAGCACTTCAATCAATAATATCTACACTGACCGCAAGCATCAGAGAGCCACAGCAAGAGACGCAAACCCAGCCTTAAAAACAACTGTGTCTTTGCCTTCTACTCTATTTTGCTATCATCCCTCAGGTTTAACTCATCACTAAAACTTTGTTGTTTGTGTTGCTGAACTGCATTTAAACTCTGTTATTTTGTGAATGCAGGTGATGAAGAGAAGCTATTCCAATCCTGTACAGATCTCTCTCCCTCATCTCATGGATAAGCAAAAGCTACGGGACACTACAAGCCATAAACAACCTAGCTATTAAAATAGGACATTTTAAAATGGTAAATCGTGAGGCGGGCTATATTTTCTTAATACTTTCTACTCACTGTCAAAACCCTCAACATTTTAATGTCAGATTACATTAGTTAGTGTAGGTGTCCACTAGGGCTGCACCTAACAATGTTTTTTTTATCAATTAATCTAACAATTGTTTTTTATCAGTCGATTGCTCTAACGACCCATGTATTGATTATTATAAAGATTTTTCTGTAGACCCAACAATACATTTATTCCAAATTAAATATCTTTTAAATCATATTTCAATATTCTATTCAAGCTATTGTTGTCTTGTATATTTACATGATCCTATTGTTTAACCAGAAATAGATAATCTAATCACACTGAAGAGGTTACATGCAGTTGGTTTCACTTTGAGCTCGATATCGAGTTGACTCTGAGGTCCTCTGGGTATTGCTGAGGAGAAGCCATTAGGCTTTTAGGACTACAGTTTCACTGGGACTCCCCCAGAGAACAGGCCAAGTGACGGGCATTAAGTAAACGAAATTACAGGCTCTGAGGAATTAGTCAGTAACTTCTGTTAAAACATAAAAAGCCACACGATCCTGGCTCAGCATCAGACTGGTACATGTAAGTGTATAGATGCAGTATTGACAGATTGTCTCAAGACTGACAACAGAAGAGGTGATCGTGTCATGCTGCTGATACAGTTTCGGACTCTAACACACAGTCAGATAATCTAAAGAAATGGAAGAGAAGCATAAAATAGTCTCACATCTCTGTTCTGGAGGAAAGTAGTTGTGCCATAGAAATAAAAAAAAAACATCTAAATAGTTTTATTTTAACCAGTGCTATGCAAAAGTCCCACTAGACTGCAGACATATAATATAAAGTCAGCAGGATAGGAAATAGCAAATATTGGCTTCAGCTAAAAAAACAAAAACAAAAAAAACAAAAAACTTTTGAGTGGATCCGAAGCTGATCTTTTTTTGCTGACAATGTATGAATGACTCCCAATCATCCCAGGACTGTGGGAACTTCTGAAAACAGTTGATGCTGCACAGCTAGCAGGTCACCATGGCATTGTGCAGCATCTGCACTGGTTTGTGTATTAGCTCACCTTTAATAACATACAGCAGACAGGCGAACACAGTTATTCCATATAAGAAAAAAGCTTTCGGTAATACTCTTCCTGCTGTACCTCAGAACAGACCAGTTTATTATTACTCTTATCTGCTAACTGTGCCTGACCTAAAGACAAACTGAATAAAATACAGAAATCAGTGACTGCTTAATGTGTATTGGTCTCGTCCTGTCGATAACTTTACTAAAGTTAATGCAAATATTGATACAGTTTAAGCTAAAACATTAAATCACACTTGTAAATTGTATCAGATTTAAAGCTTGTCCCCACATAAAGCCCTGAAGCATCTTTGGCAAACAAAGTCCCCCAGTTATTAGTTATTAATTGGGGTCAAAAAGTTTCTAAAAACAAATCCTTAAATACCTTAAGCAGCAATACCAAAATAGTAAGGTATCATGTCACAAAGTCACATTTTTCCATTTCAGTTTCATAACAATGATGGCGTGATTCTGTTTCATTATGCTAATGTGCGCAACGACACAAGTGAATATGTTGAAAGAGTTAATCATGCACACTTTAAAGCCCAATTTGGCATAAAAAGTAAATTTCTTTCCAAAGTCAAGCATAAGAATCACTGACCTATAGTGGCTGCAAATTGTACCATCACCCAGAGCTATAAATCAGAAGCCATATCGAGTGTAGTGCCAGAGATCGACAAATCCATCTATTCATTGCTGATGACACAAAAAAAAAGATGAAATCCTAATTGCTTGCAAATTGTCTATTACCTTTTTTTAAATGTATCTGCCAAAGCACTCGGGCCAGCAAGTTCATTCTTCATTGACTGCAGGCCAACGCGAGTAGGGATCTAATCAGGAGATGCAAAGTGCAGCTCTCTAATTGCATCATTAGCTAAACCAATGACTCAGTCACAGTGACTTCAGCCCCCCCCCAACACACACACTCAACCCTCTGCCCCATCCAGAAATAGGGAGTCAGGCCTGAAGCTCTTTACTGTACAGCTGCTCAAGCAGAATAATTCTAACATGTTATGTGCAACAGCGCAAAATGTTAGCGTTCCAGAAATATCCAACTGAAAAACATAGTATTAATGAGACATGTCATCAAGACACTATTTAGGCCCTGGTGTCTTTCAGGGAACGGGCATCTATCGGATCTTAATTTTAAAACAGAAATAAAAACATGTGAGCCACAATGCAGTGATGCTGCCTCAAAATGTTGAGGACTGTCAAACAACAAGCCTAAACCTTTTTGAAGAGTACCCAGAGGTAACAGCAGTCACACACAAGCACGCGTGATTTTGAAGGTTTGGATGTGATGCGATGCGATGCGATTTTTAACAGTAAACAATGCTCTCTGGATGCACTGTAAGGGGAACAGAGCATCACAGTCTTTTTTTGGCTCACTTGAGTTGCCCTCTCTTTTGGAGGACCCCTGACTAGCTGTGGTTCTGCATGCGGTGCCACGAATGACTAAGAGGCGGTTTCCCAGCAAACGAAAAAATACTGTATATCAGAAATGAACTTGCAATGTGTTTCCTGTCTCTGTAAAGTGAAAGACATGACTGGTAACACCGCTGGTACTTCCTGTTTTAAGTGCTCAAACTCAAATGTGAGCGTAATCTTGACGGGCTTCCTGTAAATGAAAATCTCCATGACGAAGCAAAACGCCCTGCTCTGCTTGGATTAATGAGAAACACGACAAGCCCACGTCTTGATACCTCATTCAAACAACGATAGCTATACTAACGTGACCTTAACTTCAGCATTCTGACACTTCAAGATGTAGTGCGTTTTCAGTACAATGCATGCACAAACAAACCACTTTCTGTCTTTATCATTTAGTTAGTTGCACGTGTTTTGTCACGGTGATGTCTTGACTGATAGAGGAGACAACCTGTCCTCTGCAGCAGTGTGACTGCGGCTGCTGAGAGAGAGAGAGAGAGAGAGAGAGAGAGAGAGAGAGAGAGAGAGAG